TGTGTGAAATGAAACATTATATATTTGAAATAATAAATATATATATATATATATACAAAATGATATATTACTCTTTGATTGTGTAAGAATAAGAACGATCTATCTTGTACAAAAAAAAGAAATAACTTCACCCCGTTTTTTCTTTTTTTTTTTTTATTATCTTCTTATATAATTATTTTATTATTGTAACATCGCTAAAATTTCTTTCTTCCACATCTTTGCTAAACGAGATTTTTTTGTATCGCTGAGTGACTAGGCATCGATAAATAAGAACAATTGTCTTTTTTATTTTTTTTCTTCGTCAATTTTTTCGATCTTTCATTTACTAATTCAAATCATTGACAATTCGCTATCAACAACGTCTTGTTACTTACAATTTTCTTTTTGTTTTGTTTGTTTTCTTTTTTGTTATTTGGTCAGTCGAAAAAAAAAAACAAAGCACAGATTTTCTTCCTCCAATCGATATTTTTTTCGTTTAATTTTTTTTCATTCATTCTCTCTTCCGAGAATGCTCTCTTATTTTCTTGTAAATTGAACAGTCACTTTTTTGGGGACCTGACTTGATACCAAAAGACTAATTTTACTCTCTAACTTTCTTCTTTAACCGTCCTTGACGTATTAAAGCTACGATCTCTCTCTCTCTCTCTCTCTCTCTTTCGGTAAATTGGTATCCTTTGTCCTTAGACAATTTTCAGGTAGAGTAAGGGGAATGAGGTGGGGATCGGGGGTAGGTTGGTTTCCAATTATTTGGCCTAAAAACGTATACCACCAAGCCGTTGCAACTTTTCTTCACCCTCTTTTCTTTTCTTTTTTCTTTTTCTCTTTTCTTTTCTTTTTTTAATTCTCTTCTTTTTTTCTTTCTCACATTCGCGAAAAAAAAGGTTTAATGTAAAAGATTTCAGATGAGTTAGATGTGGGCGTGTATACTGAAAAGGTTTTATTTTTATTTTTTTATTTAGTTTTAACATAGTAGCAGTTTACGATCGATGACGATGATGATGATGATGACGATGATAAGAGACAGAGAGAGAGAGAGAGAGAGAGAGAGAGAGAGAGAGAGAGAGAGAATGTCCTCTTTCGAAAAGAGACACCCGGTCCTTTGACACATTCATTTTGCGTTTAATTTAATGGCCTCTTCGTACCGTTGCATATCGCGTGCATATTGCATACGACATAGATTCGATATGTATGGTGGTGTATAGTCACTATTCTGATTATATAGACAGAGCTTTTTTTTTTGTTTTTCCAATATTCATAGGATAATCTATATTTGTTCGGTTCCGAAAAAGAACAAAAAAAAGAAGAAGAAAAGGAAAGAAAAGGAACAGAAAATGATTAAGTTTAAATCGTTTTTCTCGTTCGGGATTTCATTTTAATTCGATTTAATCGTTTTCATTGTTGAAATACTATCGCAATCGTGGCATTAATTTATTCCTCGGTAGAAGAAGCCTTATTTACGAACCTGATAGGAAACGACCGGAATAGAATCCCTAGGGGTAGACGTACGGAACTTGTATTTCTCGCTCGATAACAGGATAATCCGATTTAGATGTAAGTATATATATATATATATATTATAAATATTATATATAATAATATATATATATATATATTAGGGTGAAT